TTTCCTATGGAAACATAACAATGAGTGGGTTAATACCCTGTTCCCCCACTATTCATGTCCTCTTCTTTTTTTTTTTCTTTCCCCCTCCTTTTTAGTTGGCTGCCATATGCATCTCTGGGTTGGGTCTGACCCCTGGCAGAGTGCCTGAGCCTCGCCCTGGGAATTTATGCATCTAGTGGCTTTTCCCTTAGTGCTTTTTAAGCTTATCTCAGCAGACTCATGTTGTACTTGTCCTTTTGTGCTTGGCCTACTTCACTTAGCATAATTTCCTCCAACTCTTCCCATGCAATGATGTGCTTCATGCGTTCATCACTGCTTTTTAGGGATGCGTAATACTCCACTGTATCTATGTACCATTTTTTAATCCATTTGTCTGTTGATGGAAATTTAGGTTGTTTCCAACTCTTTGCAATTGTGAACTGTGCAGCGATAAACATTGGAGCACAGATGTCTGGCTGTGGTCTGTTTCTTACCTCTTCTGGGTATATGCCCAGTAGAGGGATAGCTGGGTCATATGGTAGCTCAATTTCCATTTATTTTAGGTATCGTCAAATTGATTTCCATAATGGCTATACATACCTATGGGTCCACCAGCAGTGGACAAGAGTTCCTATCTAACCACAACCCCTTCAACACTTGTTACTTTCTGATTTTTTTAAATTGAGCTATCTTTGAGAGTGTTAGGGGGTATCTCTTAGCTGTTTTAATTTGCAATTCCCTTATGGCTAATGCGTTTGTCTGGGTACTTTAGAGAAACAAATCCACAGCAACTCATGTATAAGAGTTTTATATAAAGGTTAAGTGTGCATCAAGAAAACATCCCAACCCAGTGTTGCCCAAGCCCACAAGTCCAACATTAACCCATTAACCCATATGTCCAACACCAGTCCACAAAGTCCTCCATCTCACAAAACAAACACAATGATGCTGACTACAGAAGGAAAGCTGAGTCAGTAAATGTGTAAGCATCTCAGTGCTGGCAGGGGTCTCCACACGGGTGCTCCAGCACCCAGGGCTGCAT